ACTTGTAAGTCAAGTGTAAATTTTTTAATAATGGATTAAATTCAAAATTTTAATTAATTTAATCTAAATATTAAAATTTAAAGAGTAATTATTAGATTAAAAAAAGCTGGTTCATACAAGTACGTAATATATATATAAAAGAAATAGGCAATGTACAAGTACGCAATTCTGGGTAGAAACGGCCTAATGAAATGGGGACAAAATTTTAAAAAAGGTTAAATACCATTTTTGGTCCCTCTACTATAGGAAAAAGCTCTTTTTTGATCCCGTACCGAAAAAATCCCCTTTTTGATCATTACAGTTCACAAATCCGGCCCCTTTTTGGTCATTCCGTTAATTTTTGCTCACATGGCACGTTAATTTAACTGGAACAGCTGATGTGGGTATACCAACATGTAAAAGATGCTTACATGGATTTAATGTTACCCTCAACGTCTACTTCCACGTCACTCTTCCAGCACGAAAAAAGAAAAAATTACTAATTTACCCCCATCTTCTTCCCCATCCTCTCCTTCCTCTAGGCTTTATTTTTTTTCTTTTTTTTTTTCTTTTACCTACAGGCGAACCCAGCTCCAATCCAGGTCGCAAACCCAGGTGTGACCTGGATTCATTGTTCATGGGTTCGTGAAGAACCCAGGCTTGGGTGGATTCATCTTGGGTTCTTGACGAACCCAGGTGCGCGCTGGGTTCTTCACGAACCCAAGACCAACCCAGCTCGTGCCTAGGTTCCCGACGAACCTAGCACGACCTGGGTGGGTCCATCCTGAGTTCACGACAAACCCAGGTGGGCTTGGGTTCTCGTCTACATCGAACATTTACAATGAACCTTCTTGAATTAACACCACCTCATCAAGAACACCACCTCATCACAGGAAACAAATCAATTGCCAACTTCCTGAATTAACATATTCAAATTTACACCAAACAAGCTTAACAATGAAGCTAAAGAAATCAAGAATCAAACCTCGGGGGAGTGAGCCTGAGCTAGTACGAGAAACCACTTCAGCACCGGGAAGTAAACAACCGTGAAAACTCCATCGCGTAGATCTGAG